GATTGTAGTGAAGTTGAACTTGAACTCCTTCTCAAATGAGATGTTAGAAAACAAGAACCTAGGAGCTTACATCACCCGCTTCCAGAATGAGATGTTAGAAGTTAGAGATCTGAAGCCTGATATAGCCATAACAACTTTGAAATGAGGAGCCTGAAGCAAACGATTCAAGCATAACCTAAACCTATTTAAATCTGTTGCTTTCATAGAGGTACTGGAGATGGAGAACAAACACATACTTACAAAACAAGGCTCCTTGAAGGAAAAGCCAAAGTCGCTCAACCATCCCTTAAAGAAGCGGGAAGAACAGAGAGAATCACGAAAGGCAAATGACAGTTATTCCTCCACTAGTCACCACAAGAGCAACAACCCTTGATCCCGGGATCAGAGAGGAAATGACCAACTGAATCTTGACTGAAAGCGGTGCTAACCAATGATTGGCCCAATATTATGAGCAACCACTTGTTTACCGAGAGATGCAAGGTTTGACATCTCTCAACATGTCAATGGCCAAAATAGTACAAGCCTTCCAAAACAAGGACTACTTCAAACTGACCCTACCATTGAAGGTGGCCCTGGCCTTACAAGATCCGAAGAGATACTGTTAATACCAATGTGCCAAGGTCACAACATGGAGGAATGTCGTCACCTCTGAAATCTAATTGAGGAGATCATCCATGCCTGGAAACTAAAAGAGTTTATCACAGTCTTCGCGCAGACGTAGTGACGGGGTAAAGCTCCAACAGAAGAACCCGCAAACGGGCTTGTCCGGGCGAATGAGCTCCATGTAGTATAGATAATCCTATCCATCTTCGGGGGAGGACCCCGAACCTTTGGTCTGAAAAAGATAGCTTGTTGTCTTGTATAAATGTAATTATTTACCAATTATCTTTACAGCTGCAAATCTCCCACCAAAGGGGAACCCGCACAATGAGTCCATCGTTGTCACGATGCTAATCAACTACTATCGAGTGCTTATTATTCTTGTTGGCACAAAAGATTTGGTCAATATCCTGTTCAAAATTGTGTTAGATAAGATCAGCCTAAAGACCGATCGGTTGACAGTGGTCAACCTTCAGGGACGATCAAGAACAAAACATGTAGCGAA